AATAGGGAAAGTATGGGATATTGGACCAGTAACTAAATTGGACCACCTTCATATTTCAAAAAGTATTTTTTAAATTGTTTTACTGGCATAAACCAGCGATACGTGTCTGACTTCATTGCATATCGGCCATGTTGTTTTTAGTTGTGGTATTAAACGTCTGTGTTTTGTTTTGAGAAATCTTTTTTATTTTATTTTTCATGTAAATTCCTTAGATCCGTGCTAAGAGTGTAATTAACTTAAAGGTAAGCATACAGTGTTTGTAATTTACAGCATAGAAGTGTAGTTTATCTACAATCTACTTACACGAAAAGATTGCCAGCATTTATAATAATCATACTGTTGGTTAAAATGGACCAAGAGTGTGAAATGTATGGATAATCAAATGTCTCGGAAGATTCAGATAGCAGCATTAGATCAGAAGACAAGGATAATTAATGAATACTAAAATACTAATGAATGCAAAAGAATTTAAAGAAATTACCATGATTAAGAGCTCCCAAGTTCATTGTACGAATTCCATAATAGCAATCAGGAACCGTATACTCTAAATACTGACAATAATAATTGTCTTATATGAAGAGCTTATTATTTTTTATTAGTAGTTTTATTACCTAGACTATATATTATGTAAGTTATATAATATTTCAAAAAATGTTTTATTCGTTTTACCTCAGAGCCTATTCAATTCTAATTTAGCGACCCCGTGGTTCAAATTATATAACCAGTCGGCTAAATTGGAACAAAACTCGAATCTCACATTTTGTTTTTAGTCGCTCACGCGATACATGCCGCCGTAGACGCATACCACATCTAGAGGTGCCGGTGATGATTTATCGGATATCGAAGTTATAACAGGTAAAAGAACTAATATTAATTGCTATTTCGGTAACTACTCTAGCAAACCATAAAGTTTTTAATGCCTGGGTCTGTCATTAAAAAAAAAAAAACAACTTCAAAAGTACGTCACGACAATCGTGTGTTATTGTTTGGGCTAGTGATTTCGTGTTTATTTATTGAAAACATACCGTAAGTAGCATTTTTTAAGTTTACCCTGAATATAAATGTTTATAAACTATACTTTAAGGAGTAATTTCATGGTAAACGTTAGAACCACTCATACGGAATATTATCATATTTATCCAAGTACACCAAACATTTCATTAGTGCTTTTTAAGTGTAAAATGCAGTAATATACCGCAAATCCTTTGCGGTGTATTACTGCATTTTATTTGAGATGTGTTTGTTGGTAGTACGGAGGGTATTTATTTAGCAATGCAGAATAATAATTTTTATTTATATAAACTTGTATTTAAACTGAATGCTTTTCTAATTTGCGAAACCATATAGCCGCCATTTTGCGGTAGCAGGAGCGCATCGCGTGAGCGGTTAAATGTCTATAATAATTTATGACAATTAATGCTTCATAAATACAAAGTGTAATAATTACTGTTTCATTTCAAACAATAGACCTTTGTAAAAATCTGAAAAATATATATTGAAAATGCCTTTAAAAAGACATGGTCCAAATTAACCGACTTTCCCCTATAGGTTTTATCAGCGCTAAACAAATGACGAGTAAATAAAATGATAACTAAATTGACTAAAACTGGGTGAATTTAATTTCACATTTTACTTATAAAGGTCACCATTGAACTAAAGTCCAGTCGTAACAAGTTTGAAGGACGTAGAGTCGGTTTGTTTAGGACTCGTGGTTTCGAGACCACTGGATGATAAGGGCCGTTTTTATTTATTTTGATTCCAAATTTCACATCAAGCGCTTGGACATTTCGAAAGGAAAACATTTGACATTGACAATTAAGTTTCAGGAGGGTTAAGGCGCCCTTTGGGCTACTAGTGGCGGCCACTAAATGCGACTACGAGTTACGGATCAGACTTTGTATACATTATAAATGGCATCGGCGCAAACTGAGCGTTCGAGTGGCCGCATCCGAACCACTAGCTGCGAGAGTGGAGTCGGAGGCTTCTCCCCGCCAGCCGTTGGTGCCGCTTTAGCAACTCAGTCGTTAGATACTAGGCAAAAATTTGGTTTTACCAAGAAATAAATATTTAACAACTTGTGGTGTCTTTTTGATCTGTCAATCAAATAAATCTAAAGTAAAAATCAATTTCACAAATAAAAAAAATCCAATTCTAAACTGACTTCAAAAAAATGGAAGGTGGTTCTCAATTCGACTCGACGAAAGAGGATACCCCAGTATTGGTCCCATTTAAATATGAAGAAATATTCCACCTATAAGGCTGTCAAACTACGAGATGAAATCGGTTTCGCGCTTCCGGTAACCGATTTCAATAAAACTGGCAAATAGATGAAATTCCATGAATGTTCGATGTCGGTTTTTTTTTGGAGTAAATAAAGTAGGATGGTTTCTTAAAAAGCACGACTTAGTACGCTAACATGCGAAAGCGTAGGGCATAGTTACTCCGTCGCATGCGTCTCAGATACGAATGGCATCCCGAGCACATTGGCAGAATGATGGGAGTACGCAGTGCAGTCACGCGTAGCCATTTAACCTGTCATTACGATACCTCCATTAAATACTAAGATAACTTAATTTTTGGACCTGCAGCTTGATTTTGATTGCCTCTCCCGATCGAAAACTGCGTCTTTTCCGAGTCGACGCACATAATTGCGATTCTCAACTGGCCGATCGGTTGAAAGATATAGTAGGAATCAGGTTCATCTTCTCGCTCAGAAGCCCATCTGATTTCAAGACTACCCGATCGATTCGATTCCGGTTTGAATCAAAATCAGGACGCTGTTCTGCTTTTATTTTATTTAATTTTGTTTTTCTATTTTTTTTTTCAATTTTGTTTTTGTTTCTTTATTTTTTTTCATAAAATTCGGAGAGCACAATATTAGTAAATAAATATGGCTGTTTACAAGAATAACAGAAAATGACCAAAAAATTAAATTAGCGTAACGTTCATTGGAGGTATAGAAATGACGGGTCAAACAAGTAGTGCGACTGATGCTAAGCGACACACCTGTCCATAACAGTTACAGTGCCACTCGGAGCTTTAACTCGCAAAGATCCGAGAGGCACTGCCACTGCGCCCGTCGCCCTGAGACATACGTTGATAACTCCCATGTGCCAGTTTCACCAACATTCTTAACCCTTCTTATCGATTAGCTGGGTGCATTCTGTTCCATCATAAATACTTATTGTTAGCGAGTCGTGACATTAATTTATTTTGTTTTATCTAAACATATATCACAAATTCTCTATGATGTGATAAAAAACCACAAATTACGACCAACATAAAGGTAAACTGTTTTGTTAGAATAAATTTGTTATCTGTGAAAATATTATTATTGCTTCTAACATCGAATTCGATGTTATTATTACATTAAAATTTCGAACATCTCTGAAAAACAAAACAATTTGATTGCACCTCAATTCTAATATCAGTCGAGATGAAGTTTTATTCGAAATGAAAAGTCGATAGCAAACAATTTTGACAATTTCACACGTTACTTGATATCGAACGATATGATAGTTG